GTTCAACCCCTGTTCTTCTCCTAACCAGCTGCTTCTTAAAGTGTCCTGCACTTCAGGCTTATAAACAGAGCTAAAAATATTAACCTTATAGGGTTACTGAGCACAATATCTTGTATACACTAAGCTGTAAGTAAAAGTTAGCTATTACTGTTATCATCATTATTTCTAGACTGTGTTCATTTAAAAGATTCAATAATGAGTAAATAATCAGTATGTATTACCAACATAGGAAAAGAAAAATTTCCATGAGCCCCCAAACATAATACAATATCTTCTAGCTGTTTCCTATCTGTCTCCTCTTAATCTAGGATATTTATTTCCCAGAATTGTACCAAACACTGCTTCCCTCCCGGGTCTGTGGGAGAGGTGGGGGACAGAAGTTCTGGACCATTGTGACAGGGTAAGCAGGTGGTTAGTGTGCTCTCTCTGACCAAACTCAAGCTGTGTGTGAAACACATCACTACGGCTCCCAGGAAGGAGATGTAGATGGATTCTCTGGGTTGGGGTGAGGGGGTGTTTCTAGACTTGCAGGTACTATCTTGAGGGTATGTAGATATGAGTGACAAAATAAAGGAGATCATGTTCACTGTTAACCCTTTGGCTGAATGTCTAGTGTTAACCCTTGGAAAACAAGAGAAAGACAGGTAGGCAAAGAGAGAAAAGACTCTCTCTTTATGCCTTAGCCAGTTAGAACACAGAGGCCTCTTACCTTCTATTGAAAAAGAGGTGTTTTATCAGGTTAAAGAAACTGAATTACCCACCTCTCTTTCCTTTTTCTTTAATGCCAATCTTAAAAATGTTTTTCCAGTTTTAGATATTTATGATTTGATTCTCCATACCGAGGTTCACAAAGGGGATTTAAGGGCTGAAATTGTTACTAGCACCAGATGCCTGATGACCCTGGTTGTATGAAAAATGACAATGCAGAGAGGAGGCAGAGAAGTACTCTCCATAACAACACTGGGTTGCTACACATGCTCAGCACAAGCCACTGATAAGAAAGCAGAGTCATTCCTAAAGGGAACTAAATACAAACTTGCCAGGTACTGTAGATCCCCTGCAAAGATAACGGTCAACAATCCTCCCACGCCTGTGTGCACACACTGCTCCTCAACCTAGAGGTGGCATCTAGTGCTCCTAGCCTTGAATCTGGCTGGACTTGCTTCGGCCAACAGAAGGTGACAGAAATCATACTTTGCTCCAGGCCTAAGCCTTAAAAGCCCTTGCTGCTTCTGTGTTTGCTCTCTTGGAAGTTGGGGCTGGACTCCTGAATGATGGGAGAGCACCTTGCAGAGACAGAGGCCTTGTGGAGGAGGATCAAGGCATTCTGGTCAACAGCTGGTACCAAAGTCCCAGCTGTGTGGAGTGAGGCCACCTTGGACCTGTCAGTCCCAGGCAAACCACCCCAGCTGATACCACAAGGGGCACACATGAGCACTTCCCAAATTTCTGACTCACAGAATCAAGTAATAAAATAATTGCTATTTTAAGTGACTAGGTTTGGAGATGATTTGCTATGTAGCAATAGAAAATTAAAGCAGGCATCTTATGGCTCTCTCTGTCTCTCTGTCTATGGAGGGGCTCCAATAGCTAGATGCCTGGGTTTCCACCCCTTTTCTTCAGCACATGTTCTATTTACTCCTAGAGCCCTCCTAATGATTATTCTGAAGCACAAAGTAAATACCTTATGTAAAATGTTAACAACATGAGAGAATACTATGCCAGTCGCTATGGGGGATATACACTTCAGCTCTGTAGTAGGGCTTGTTTCAAGCAAGAGGGTATACACTTACACATGAAAAGGTGCTGCTGGAAAGTACTTCTTCAAGTGGGGTTTCAGGATTTTGTCTAACTTTTCACACTAAAGACTGGACAGAAGAATAGTTACTCCTAGGTATGTGTGTGTGTGTTTCTATTACAGAAAGTTAAAGCCAAGTCTAAGGAAATGCTTGGTAAATATTAACTAAGACCTTAAATACTATGAAACTTTAGATTTTGAAACATTTTATTTATGTATTTTAGATGCAAGATCTCACTGTCACCCAGGCTGGAATGCAGTGGTGCAATCATAGCTCACTATAGCCTTGAACTCCTAAGCTTAAGTGATCCTCCCACCTCAGCCTCCCATGGCTATGTGCCACCACATCCAGCTGATTTTTCATTTTTATTTATTTATTTATTTATTTATTTATTTATTTATTTATTTGAGACAGAGTCTCGCTCTGTTGCCAGGTTGGAGTGCAATGATGCCATCTCAGCTCACTGCAACCTCCAACTCCCTGGTTCAAGTGATTCTCCTGCCTCAGTCTCTCAAGTAGCTGGGATTACAGGCACATGCCACCATGCTCAGCTAATTTTTGTATTTTTAGTAGAGACAGGGTTTCACCATGTTGGCCAAGATGGTCTCAATCTCCTGCCCTCGTGATCTGCCCACCTCAGCCTTCCAAAGTGCTGGGATTACAGGCTTCGGCCAACGCACCTGGTCCATTTTTATTTTTTGTAGAGATGGGGGTCTTGCTATTTTGCCCAGGCTGATCTCAAAGTCTTGGCCTCAAATGTTTCCTCTCACATTAGCCTCCCCAAACACTGGGATTAAAGGTGTGAACCACCATGCCTGGCCAACATTGTAGATTTTAAAGAATAAGTTTCTGACAGCATCCTTCTGAAGACATAAAATTGCTCTGGATCTGATGGCAAAGGATAAGTTCTATTGGCAGGGAATTTAGACAAAGTGTTATCTCTGGAAAGCCAGAGGCCAGAGCACAGCCACGAATTCTTAGAATTGCTGTGAGGTGAACACCATAAACTTCCAGAGAAGACTGAGGCAGCATCTCTTTGCTTTATATCAGGCTAGGCCTGAAGCTGCACTGAAAAAGGAATGAAGCTGGCTTATCTGTCAACAAAAGACAAACCCTATGAAGAAGAAGGTTTTACCTTCCCAGAGTAATGAACATGGTGCTGTTCTCAGAAGTCAAATACCGTGACTTGGGCAATATTCTATTGATCACATAGGCTAGCTCTACTCAGAAGTGGATGGCGCTACACAAGAGAATGGACACTGGTGGGCAGGGTCAATGGGAGCCATGTTGGAGGCTGGCTGCCACATTCACCCAAAATCAATGTACTAGTGCCTGCTGAGGAACAAAACACAATGTCCCTGCTTTCCTGAAGCATACATGCTTAGAGAGGTGAGAAAAGCAACAGATCTAATCAGTAAGTAAATTATATTACATGCTCTAATTTGGGAAGTCCTATGGGCTCCTGCGCTAGGCTCCACAGACCAAACAAAATGCAGTCACTCCTGCTGAGGTTCGATACCATGAGGCCAGAAATAAGTTGTTTGTCTGAGCTTCCAAGAAATGACGAGAGAGATAACAGCCAAATCCCCAAACAGCCCAGTTTTAGTCAGCACATAAAGAAGTCCCCTCTGCTTTAACTTTCACAAGGAAAGTAACTTTAAAACAATTAATCTCCTTTTTGTTCTCTTCTTTAGCCCTTTTCTGTCTAAAGCCAACCTCTGCTCAGCTCACTGGAACACTCATTCTATTTTACAGAATGAGGCATTGCCCAATTCTGGAATCGCAAATAAAAGTGAATTAAGATCTTTAAATTAAGCTTGTTGTGATTTTGTCTTTTGATATATGAAAATAGACAAAGCAGGAGAAAAGGAAAAGGGAATGCTGGAAGTTGGGATTACAATTTTAAACGGGGAGATCTGGGTAGACTTCACTTAGTACACCTGAAGGGAGTGAGGAAACAGGCCATGTGGTTTTATGGAAGAACAGTGTTCCAGCCACTGGGAACAGCAACTATGAAGACCTGGAAGTAGGAATGTGCTTGTCATGTCCAGGAAACAGCAAGCAGAAACAAGATGGTTACAGGAGAGATGCAGGAGATGAGATCAGGTAATAACAGTCAGAGGACAGAGACTACGTGGGCGAACGCATGAAATGGGAAGCCACTGGATAGTTCTTAGCAGACAACTGATACTATCTGACTTAACATTAAAAAAAAATCTCATTCTGGTGGCTGATACCAGAATTGACAGGCCAAGGGTGGAAGAAAGGAAACAAATTAGGAGGCTCTTGTAAAAAGTCAGACAAGAGGTAGTGGTGGCTTACATTACAACAATATCACTGTAGGTGGTAAGGCGTGGTCACTCTGAATTTATTGTGCATGATTAATTGCCATTCTAGGCAAAAGTTTTTATTTAAGAGGAACAGCATTTTTTATTAGATCCCAGATATGTTGCCGCTAAATGGTGCTTTAGGGAACCCCTCACAAGTTCTGAGGAACTTCACAGGGATTTGCTCATAATAGCAATGAAGTGGGTAAGGGGACTTAAGCTCTAGGGGACTAAAACTGTCCCCTCCCCAGTTTTATAATGGCGGTTCTGTGTTAACATTCTTTAAATGTGGGATGGGAAAAACCTTCAAAAGAAAGACTAGGAAACCCGATTACCCAAAAGAAAAGATAGACCATAAAAACACACACCACAAACTGTATAAAAAATACAACACTATTGATAAAACTGAAAGACAAACTACAAATAAAAATATTTGCAACACAAATGAAGACAGTTTAATATCTCTAAAATTTAAAAAACTCCTAAATTCAAAAGGAAACAATCAAGTAAGAAATGAACAAAGAGCGTGATCAAAACGAGGCTCATAATAGTACCTCCTTCATTGAATTGTTGTGAGGATAAAATAACAATATATACATCAAGTGTTTAACATAGTTCCTGGCTCAATAAATTTTACCCACCACTGCCACCCCATAACCACCACTGCTGTCATCATAACTACCACTGTTGACACTTTGCCACTACCTTTGTGTTATCATCACCACCATCACCACCACCACCAGCAACTTCATCATCCTGTCAGTGTCAGGGCCATTAGCAATGGAAATCTGAGTCAACTCTGAAGGTCAATTCCAATGCAGCTTCCCCCCAAGTACATTCTTCACTGCAAGTGACCAATTACGTATTGTATTACCTTTTCATGGTTTTCTATTAGGATCTCAATGACAATGTTCTGAAATTTGATGTCCATAATGGCTGCTACCGTTTCTTCCTGAGGCCTCAGCAGAGTGGGTCCAAACACGACGCCAAGGTTTGCCACCGTCATCAAATTCTGCTTGTGGTTGTTAGCAACACTGGGAGGAAGGAAAAGAAAAGGTACCAATGAGAGATATTGTGTACACAGAGATACCAACCACTCTGTACCCTTCCTATCTTCCTATCTACAGACTCCTCGTCTGTGGGAGCCAGAACTTGGGACATTCTCAGATGCCACAGGAATCAGAAAATCTACCACGTTTCAGAAATCTTCAGCATCCAGGCTATTTTCCTATTTCAGGATATGACACTCCTTATATCATTTCCATTTTGCCTAAAACAACCAACCAACCAAAGCAACTATCTGCCAAATTACTAACCTTTGAACATCTGAATCCCTGTTTTGCAAGTCCAGGTAACTGCTAATCCCTCTTAATTGCAATTTATGTACTTGGCTGCTGCTTAAACCACTGTAATCATTAGCATTTTTCTCTACTGCAAATGTAAAATCTCTTGATAGCTTTAATACATTCGTAAACATAAACACAAAATAGACATAATTTTTAAAATGGGCAGATCTGGATATTTAAAACCAAGTAAGGAAAGTCAGCCCTTTAAAGTATTAAAGGCCCACCAGATTAAACATGTGGCTCACATTAAGTGAAATGTGGCACAAACAGAAATATAAATGCACTAGTGTATATTTATCTATATAGCTATGTTTATATTGTTACTTAAAGTCTAACAAACACACAGGGTCAACAGCTGCTGGGTCTGAGTAATTTGCTAAAGACGTATGCTTATTTTTGAATAAACAACTACATGTATCTGAACTCCATACCCAGGCCACCATGACCTAGCTATGAAACTCAATTGTTCATTTGCTGGCCCCATGTGTAAAAACATACAAATCATCTACTGGCAACAAATAAGTTAAAAGTTAATGCCATTTAGTTTTGTTGAGAAAATACCAAGAGCTTCCCTAAATCACCTGCTATAAGAAGGAAGCTATTCATTACTAACTCAAAACCAGAGAGAAATTGGGTAGAGATCGGCAGTTTGCACACACCTACCTCCCTAGCATTTAGTGCTATTTATATGTAGTATTTTTTCACACAATTCTATAAATGCCTGCACTGTTTCTCTGGTATACCTTTTTTTTTTTCTTTCTTTCTTTTTTTTTTTTTTTTAAAGAAAAGAGATTTTCTGGATCTTAAGTGCTGGTTTTTAAACTGAGACTTTATTAAAATACTACATCAACCAATTTTATTAGTAGATGTGTACATTTCTATAATTTTCTTTAGGGCTAAGAGTTTAACTTTCTCCTCTAACGGTGGGCAGAGCATGGTTAGACCTATGAAACTTTAACTGTGGTGCCATCCAACTAGAAAGATAATTTGCTTTTTGATTGCCAAGCAACACCTGCAGCAGGGAGAGTGGCCTGCCTCTGGTCCATAAAGAATATTTCATTAACATTTTCTTAGTTCTTGCTGAGTCTCCTGGTTTTACTTATAGTTTTCCATTCTACCCAGAATCACGTCACGCTTCCAGTCTGAAAAAGTGAATGCAGACGGTCAAATTCTTACCTGGCAAGGGGGAGAGACTTTGGTTCTGTGCCTTAGTCAATCATCAAGTATGCATATTTACAAGCTGCTTTTAACATCACTCCTTTCAACATCAGCTCCTCTGTGTGGGAAGGGAATTCTATGTCCTTATACTTCCCCTCCCAAAAGAGCTAAGTCATTAAACTTGCCCTCTTGTCACAAAAGCCCCTTGTGCAAGTGAATCAACAAGCTATTTTTGTATGAAAGTACCTTCAAATTGTCGACCAATATAAAAATACATGGTTTGGATGATGATCATTTTTCCCTGTCCTGCTCCTCCACACTACATCTGACTACAGCAACAGCCTCCTAACTAGGGTTCCTGACCCAAGAACTTCTAACTTCAGCTTTATCCTTCCTGCTACCAGCAGTTCCAGCTAAAACCTCCCCTGGCGAGAACACAATGCCATGGCATTTAGTGTTTAGCAATGCTTTTATTGTTTAATTGTTCTGATAATGATGGCTATAAACCTTTAGTGGGCCCCACTGTTTTTCTTTCTTCTTCTTCTTTTTTTTTTAAACAAACAAGATCTTTCTCTATCATCTAGGTTGAGTGCACTGGCATGATTATAGTTCACTGCACCTTCACACTTCTGGGCTCAAGAGATCTTCCTGTCTCAGCCTCCTGAGCAGCTAGTACTACAGGCATGCATTGCCACACCTGGCTAGTTTTTAAATTTTTTGTAGAGACAGTCTTGCAATGCTGCCTAGGCTGATCTTGAACTCCTGGTGTCAAGTGATCCTCCCAGCTTGGCCTCCCAAAATGGTAAGATGATAGGCGTGAGCCACTGTGCCTGGCCTGCCCGACTGTTTTTAATACAAAGTCTGAACTCTTATAAAACAGCATACCTTTCCTCAAATCACCACTAAGCCCTTCTGTGCCACCTCACAGCTTGGGTCCCTGGGCAGAGTAACTCAATATTTCTAAGTGCTGGGTTCCTCATCTTTAAATAAAGGAGAGGCTGGGTGAATAACATACCTACTTCATGTGAATGTCATACAGATTAAATGTGATAATGCATGGGAAATATGGTAATTATCACACTAATTCGCTTTTCACTCTCATTCCACTTCCATACCTCTCTGCCTTTGTCCATATCATTCCTCTGCCTGGAATGCTATTATGCTGCTTCGTTCGTTTGGCAAACTGTAATATGCAAGGCTCAGCTCAAATGGTCCCAGTCCTTTCTGTACATTCCTCCCACCTTTCTCCAACCCTCTATTCCCAACAAAGGCAGAGGTGTCGGCCTGCTCCTGCATTCATTACACTGCGCTGTCATCCCTGCCCAGGCCTGAGAAGAGGAAGTGTGGTGTTTTATTTGGTAGCACCAGTGCTGAGCACACTGCTTGGCACATGGGATGCACAATGACCGTTCGCTGAAGTGTTAAAAGATGAGGGGAGTTTCTGAGTAGGAATGAAATAATTATTCCCAACCCAGCTATTTACTCATAAAACTACAAATTATTGTTGATTTTTAGAGAATGTATCTCAACTATCCCAACCTCCCTTTTTAAAGTCTCCAGCTATGTTCTATTTCTTTGACTTAATTAAAGAGTAATAATTACTCCTATTTGCAGGCCCCAATGCTCAAAGGCATTTGGAAAAAAGGTATAGCAATTTTGGATTGGCAACTCTGAATATAAATAGGCTTGAGGTTACCCAGCATAATTCATTTCCCTTTTAATGATCCGTGTTATTTTAGAACTTAAAAAACACATTGATCTAAGTCTTAGAAAACTTTTTTTGGCGGGGGTGGGGGAGCTACACCTTTCATTATTAATGACCATTATCTTTCGGCACACTGAAGTAATAAATTGATCTGTCACTTGATTATTACTGTTCGCAACTTGGTACAGCTATGTTCATTACTCCAGAATGAATTATTAATGGCTTGAGATCTCTATGTATCCCGGACAGAAAGGCCTAGACCTCAGCCTCTGCTGGCACCAGCCATCTATTATAGCTGGATGAATTTACAGGTGTGTGGGAAATAGGCTGGCAGAGCACTGGGGAGCCAGTCCAGCAGAGGCCATGGGACTCATTCATTAGCAAGGTCTATAAAACATGGAGAACCTGCTGTTTTGTTAAACTGAGCTGTTGGAGCTCCTCCTCATACAGCTCAGAATGTCATGTTGAGTCTTGACTTAAAATCCACACAGAGAAGTTACCTTCACACTACATACTGCAGTGAAGAGGTCTTTGACACATGTCTTTCAAATCCCTCTGTCCATGTGGACTGCTCTGCTGTGGTGTCTTTTGAAAGAACTGCCAATTCTATCATTTGGATGCTGCAGAGAAACAGTTTTGCATGTGATATTCACTTGGAAGAGACCCAGTTTCTTCTGGGATCATCAGAACTGCTGTATCCAATGAGAAGCAGTGGATCTCCTGAGGGGCATGACTTCAGGGCAGTTGTTGGGGTTGGTAGGTATATGTACCCCACGATCCAGGGAGTTGCCTCATGAACTAGAACCAATGAGGAAAGCGCATGTTCCATGAAAATGGCCTTGGCAGAGGGGCCTCCTGCCACCTTTGCTTCAAAAGGAAATAGATGGAGATTCTGTTTTGGTCTGATATCCTTTGACGGGCAGAAGGAGGTAAATCACTTTCAGATAAAGATGTTGGTGGGGACGGTGATAGAGGGAGCATTATGATGGGAATAGACAGTAAGTAGCCAATCCTTTTGGGGCCTGTAAGGCAGAGACCACCCATGCTGTCATAGGGATTACATCCGTTTTCCTGGAGTTTAAATGAGAGTCAGAGCTCTATAAGTGTTAAGTAGTACTTTAAAATACGAGACTGGTCCTAAAGTACTCCAACAATACATGAGTTTACTGTGGGGTTTGCAGATAGGTTTCATCTGATCCTGAAGTATTCTAAAGATACATAAACTTATTGTAGGGTTTGCAGATAGGTTTCATCTTGAGGCCTAGAGTGTTATGTCAAAGAATGTCAAAGCAGAGTACCAGCTCCACTGGATACGATGTAGTCACAGATTTGCAATGAACCATGGGTTGGATGGGCGGAGCAACAGCCCATCCCACTTATCCACCATCTCCTACTTGTTTGCTTCAGCTTCCAATATTAAATTGGAATTAGGCTTACAGTGTTTTAGACTTTTTAAACAAGCTACAACAACTTTTTACATTTATCTGACCTTCAGAATAACTCTGTAATAGCAGCTCTCAAACGTTCTGACAATGACCCAAGGTAGGAAGTATATTTTATCAAGCAATACACACATACATAAACAGACACATCCCCACACCATATCAGAAACAAAAGTTTTCAGGAATAGTAAGTATGATACATTCTGATATTTTCTATTCCCATGCTATCCTAGTCTATCCAATCAATTATTTTCATGAGCCACTTATATGCCATGAACTACTATTTCAGAAACACTGCTACAGAGGCATAAAGCACAAGTATTCTCTCCAATTTGCAAATTTGGACAATGAAGCCTAAGGGAGATCATAGCACAGTAGCTGGG